AGGCAGGGCAGGCAGGCGGCAGTTAGGCAGGCAGTTAGGCAGGCAGACAGGCAGGCAGTTAGCAGGCAGGCAGGCAGGCAGTAGGCAGGCAGGCAGCAGGCAGTTAGGCAGGCAGGAGGCAGTTATGGGCAGCAGGCAGGCAGTAGGCAGGCAGGCAGGCATTAGGCAGGCAGGCAGGCAGTTAGGACAGGCAGGCAGGCAGCGGCAGTTAGGCAGGCAGGCAGGCAGTTTAGGGGCCAGGCCAGGCAGTTAGCGCAGGCAGGCAGGTAGGCAGTTAGGCAGGCAGGCAGGCAGGCAGTTTAGGCAGGCCATTGTGCAGGCAGCGCAGGCAGTTAGGCAGGCAGGCAGTTAGGCAGGCAAGGCAGGCAGGCAAGACCAAGGCAGTTAGGCAGGCAGTTGGCAGGCAGGCCAGTTAGGCAGGCAGCAGTTTAGGCAGTGCTGGCAGTTGGCAGGCAGGCAGGCAGGCAGGCAGGCAGCAGCAAGGCAGTTAGGCAGTTATGGCAGGCAGGCAGGCAGGCCTTAGGCAGCAGGCGGCAGGCAGGCATTAGGCGGCAGTGCAGGCAGGCAGGCAGGCAAGCAGGCAGGCCAGGCAGGCAGGCAGGCAGTTAGGCCAGGCAGTAGGCAGGCAGTTAGGCAGGCAGGCAGGCAGGCAGGCAGGCAGGCAGTTAGCAGCGCATGTTAGGCAGGCCAGGCAGGTCAGGCAGTTTAGGCCAGCAGGCAGGCAGGCAGTTAGCAAGGCAGGCAGGCAGTCAGTTAGGCAGGCAGGCGGCAGTTTAGGCCAGGCAGGCAGGCCAGTTAGGCAGGCAAGGCAGAGTTAGGCGGCAGGCAGGCAGTTAGGCAGGCAGGCAGGCAGGCGTTGCAGGCAGGCAGCAAGTTAGCAGGCAAGGCAGCAGTTAGGACAGGCAGGCGGCTAGGCAGTTAGGCAGGCAGGCATATTAGGCAGGCAGGCAGGCAGGCAGGCAAGTTAGGCAGGCAGGCAGGCAGGCAGAAGCAGTTAGGCGGCAGGCAGTTAGGCAGGCAGGCAGTTAGGCAGGCAGGCAGTTAAGGCAGCCAGGCAGTTAGGACCGGCAGGCCAGTAGGCCAGCAGCAGGCAGGCAGGCGGCAGGCAGGCAGTTTTAGGCAGGCACCGCAGGCAGCAGTTAGGCCAGGCCAGGCAGTTAAGGTCAGGCAGCAGGCAGTTAGGGCAGGCTAGGCAGGCAGGCAGGCAGGCCAGGTTAGGCAGGCAGGCAGGCAGTGTAGGCAGGCCAGGCGGCAGGCAGGCAAGGCAGTTTAGGCAGGCAGGGCAGTTGGCAGGCAGCAGTTAGCAGGCAGGCAGGCAGTTAGGCAAGGCAGGCAGGCAAGGCAGGCAGGCAAGTTACGGCAGGCATGGGCAGGCAGGGCAGGCATGGCAGTTAGGCAGGCCAGGCAGGCCAGTTAGGCAGGAGCAGGCAGGCAGGCAGTTAGGCAGGCAGGCAGGCGTTAAGGCAGTGCAGCAGGCAGCATGCGCGGCAGTTAGGCAGGCAGGCAGGCAGGCAGGCAGTTAAGGCAGGCAGGCAGGCAGGCAGGCAGGCAGGCAGGTAGGAGGAAGGTTAGGTAGGAAGGAAGGTAAGTATGGGGGAAGGAGGTAGGCTAGGAATGAAGGTATGGTAGGAAGGGAAGGTAGGTAGGAAGGAGGTAGGTAGTAGGTAGGAAGGAAGGTAGGTAGGAAGGAGGTAGGTAGGGAAGGACCGGTAGGTAAGGAAGAAGGTGAGGGTAGGAAGGAAGGTAGGTTAGGGAAGGAAGGTAGTAGGTAGGGTAGGTAGGGTAGGTGGTAGGTAGGTAGGTAGGTAGGTAGGTAGTAGGTAGGTAAGTAGGTAGGTAGGTAGGTAGGCAGGAATCAGTCCGAGTGGACGGTCCGTGAGACCTTATTTCTAAAAAGTAAAGACTCCAGCATACGTATGGAAT